ATAACTCTTGGGTGGGGGATTTACCGTGTGTTTCTGCACTGACCTCACATCCTCATGTTTATCTCTTGTCATCATCAGGGAAATGCAAGTGTAAGTGTCATTCAGCAGAGCTGCACTTGGTGGCTGAACACGGTGAAAACGAAGTGATGGCGACTCTTTCATTTCTGCTCACTCTCATTTTCCTCTTCACATCAACAGCAGGTAAGACATGATCCTGTCGTGGTTTTACATAATGTGTCCGAGGCAGCTATAAACTGCTTGTAACACGATGGTATGTGTGATGGAGGCAGCAGGCTTTACTCACATCAATATCATATTGTAGAAAGTAAATGATTTGCTAAGTACTGAAAATAAATGTACTGTAATCTGACAATAACTCATCATGAAGATTTTTTAATCTATGATTTTACTGAATCTGCAAAGTAACTAGTGCATGGAGATATTTAAAAAGTGGAGTGAAAATTATAATACTTGCCTCTGAAATGTTGTGAGGAACAAGCATAAAATGGATAAATGGGCTTCAAAACAGTTTTAACCACCTAGTTACATTACAGCAGTGCTTATTACTGAAACACGAGAAAAAAGGAAACAACTGAACTTTTCTACGCTACATATTCACATGCAGATCATTGAACTGACACATTGTTATACACCAGCACTTTAAAATCATTGCCACATTTCTTTCCCACAATGCTTTGACATTGTTTATACCAACTATAAACTCCAAGAAAATAGGATGTGGTCACAAACCTCACCTGCTCTCTCGGTCACACATTTTTACTGAGAATGAGCAACCCGTACATACACTCAGTGGTACACTCATGGAACACTAGCACATCCAACATAACACCAGTTCACATTGCCGTAGTTACTACTCTGATGATATGTCCGTCTACATCACTTAAAGTAAAAATCATAACTAGTCATCCTAAGTAATTTTTTTATTATTTATAGATGTTGTATTTGTATTTTCATTCCTCAGTCATGATGTTTCATCTTATCTTTATAGCATTGACTAACTAATTAAAACCAAAAGAAAATAAACACTTAACAAACATCGGCGTGAACATAACTTCCTTTGAAAAAAATTTACTCAACACATACTGTGAATTTTTTGGTTTGGTCTATGGTCTCGTCCACTAACATGGAGGAGAGCAGGTTTATGACCTATGCTGCAGCCAGCCACTTGCAGGCAGATTATGGACACAAAACAGTAATATATTTGACATCGTCTCAGTTCTCGCTGTCAATAAGCCAGTTCATTAACACAATGAATTGAAGTCAACCTTTTGTCGCTCTTTCACAGGTGCACAGCAGCTGGGACATAAGGCGATATGGGTCCGGCCAGGTGAAATGGCGGCGCTGCATTGCCCTTGTGACTTTAATCATAATGGTGATGCCACACACGTCTGGACCAGTCTTACCAAGCGGGAGATGGATCTGACCAACGTGTCCTCTGCTGAGCAGATGGGCGTGCTGGTTCTCGGTATGAGCCTCGTTATTCTCCGTGCATCTGGAAATCATCAGGGGAACTACTCGTGCTCTCTGGGGTAAAATACCATTCGCAGGTTGATGAATCTGGATTTCTTGTGTTATCCTGTTCTGATAGCTCTTTTTATTTCTATATATATTTTTTCTTTTTTTTCTTTTATGACATGAAAGGAATTCCAGCTGCCAGTCCTGGTTCACAGTGACAGTGAGCACAGCACAGCCCAGAGGTCATAGCCAGAAATGTAACGCACAACAGTCCTGCATACTGAAATGCCCTGATGAAAACAGTCCCAGAGCAAATATGACCAGCAACGGCATCAAATGGCACAAGGTAATTTCACACCGCTGATTTTTGACTGACTTCAATTTTTTCACTTTCTCATTAAATTCACTTTATTTTCCATCTTATAGGAGGGTGAGTCATCGCTAAAAGACGTTAACTTTCCAAGTGTGGGAAAGAACCAGAGTGGTGTTTACACCTGTACCAGATCTTTCCTGTACAAAAGTCATGTGTACAATATGACCTCTACATTTGAACTTCATGTCGAACCAACGAGTAAGACAAACACTTTATCTACACGTTTATCCGCGTCAGAGTCCATATGTTCTGAAAACGAGTTTTCTCTTGTTTTTGCCCAGAAAAGATGAAAACCGCAGTGATCACTTCCCCGCGCCATGAGGATGTATTTTATGTAGATTTGGGTGAGCCTCAAACTTTGATACACACACAAACGTTTGTCTTTTCAAATCACTTCTTTTAAATATTACAAACTGTCTTTTCTAGGCTCAACAAAGGTGATAGATTGTGAAGCTGTGACCTCCTTAGACTTTGATGATTTGTTCTGGTTGAATGAGAAATCGTCAAATACCAAACGGTAAACACTGCATATGCACGTAGCAACTATTACAGCAACTCTGTAGATGTCAATCACAGTCACATGAACACTCTTTTTCTTAATCCTCATCCTATTTGTTCTTTCTGTTCTTCTTCAAGGGTTAATAATGGTGAACAAATAAAGATGACAGCATCTCTGGTCTTCGGAAAAGTGTCGGACGAGGATCTTTCAAAAAATTACACCTGTAAACTGCAATCTGCGTACCAGAGCTCAAGCATCGTCACCATTACTCTCAGAAAAGGAAAGCCTTGTTGTTAACATTTGTGGTTTTAGAAATGTGGCGGTTAAAATTATCTATATGACTCTTTCCATTATGAATCAACAGCTCCCCGTTCTTACACGCCACTGACTCTCAGCACTGTGGGCCTCATGGTCGTGATGATGTTGACGGTATTCGTCTGCGTGATGTTTAAAATTGAAATCACTCTTTTCTTAAGAGACACTCTTGGCTGCCATAGACGTACCTCAGGTAGGAGTCATATTTTTTTAAATGTTTAGGTGATCTATGTTTGTGCTTTTTTTGGGGGGGGTGCAGACAATTTAACTGCAGTGACAGAGCTGTTGTTGTTTCCTGATTAGATGGAAAATGCTACGATGCTTTCATGATGTGTTATAAGAGCGACGCGGATGTAGGACTAAACGCTCAGGACAGAAAATGGCTGGAGAGTGTTTTGGAGGAGAGGTTTGGTTACAGTCTCTGTCTTTATGATCGTGACGTCTTACCAGGGAAACGTATGTATTAATATTGACCTCACATTTCTACAAAGCAACCTAAAAATATGAATGGAGTTGTGCATAATTTGAACCCTGGTTGTTTGCAGCTGTAGCGGAGGCCGTGATTGAATGCATAGAGGAGAGCCGGACGGTGGTTCTGGTTCCCACCTCTCCAGATCCTGGTCTGGGGTCCGGCCTGCTGACTGCCATCCATGCTTCTCTTGTGGAGCGGCAGACTCGCTTGATTTTCATCTCAACTGAGACAACAAAAGGGTCGATGCCAGGTTCCCTACCTGAGGCCCTGCAACTTCTCAATGAGGCTGGAGACTGCGTCACCTGGAAGGGCCCTAGCTCCATGTCGTTGTCGTCCTCCTTCTGGAAACAGCTACGCTATTATTTACCTCCCTGCCGGCCTAAAGTCAAGTGTCTACCACTGAAAATCTAGGATGTTGCCTCATGGTGAAATGTTTTGCCAAGTTAGAATCCACTGCCTATGTCAGGTCTTTCTGTACCATCGTGTATTATGTATCCATAATAAAGAAATGAAATCTAAGGAAGGGCAACATAGTTGTTCTTGGTCTTTGAATGAATGAATGAATTTGTGTTCTTGAGTTTTGCAAATACTAATTAATAACAAATAAATAATTGAGACGGTGGAGGGCACGTACACCAGGAGTTTCATCTGGACATTTACTTTGTTGTTAAAACTGTTCAACTTTGTCGCCTGCTTTGATTATATTATAAAAAGCAGGCCCTAGAAATCTGCCTGATGTGGAGCAGCAACATATCTGTTCTTCAAGGTTCTCTATTATCTATATGTTATGCACCTGTTGTTCTTACAGCACAGTGGAATATAACAAAGCAATTCTAAGAAGTGCATATAGGAAGTAGTTCACACTTACAAAGATTTCTGGTGAAATCTTTAGAACAACCCCACCGGAAACTAGATATATTATACATCCTGTGAAAACAGTGCACCTTTAACAGTTGCTGCCAAAGAGACGATGCACAAGCAACAGGGAGAAACAACTAGAACTCTTCACCTGGAAAGTAAATAATAGCAAAACTCTAAACTGTATTAAGAAAACTTGTTTTATCAGCGTCATGAATTAAATTTTTACAGATGCAGACTGGACACATTCTGTTTTCATTCATCTTTCCCATTGTCCTGGATGGATGCTGTGTGGGAGGTCATGAAAAGAAACTAACAGGTAATGCATTTAAACACAAAATGTATTATTATTAACAGTGTCTCCTTTTTTAGAACATACAATTTAAAATGAGAAAATATGACTGTGTTGTAGCTACAGGACTCACAGGTCTGCAGCAGGATGCAACACATCAGCACTACAGAGCTGTGGAGGGGGAGAGCTTCATGATGCCGTGTTTAAAATCGGTGAGCGGACACATTACGGAGGTGTGGTCCAGGACTGGTGGAAGTGAAAGTCTATCCTTTGACTGTGGGAAAGTGTTCCCAGCTGAGGTAGAACACTCTGGAAAGTACAGATGCCTCACAGGGTAAACAATCATGTTTTTTCATTGTTTTCATAACCGTTGCTGTATTTAATACTTCTGATCAACCTCAAAAGCTGTGTTAACTAATGCAGCAAAGATTTGTGTGCTAAAAACTATTTAGAGAATTTCACAAATCACAAATTACCATCATGGGACTTTAGCATCTGTACAACCTACGACACAATCTGGATTTAGACTTAGTTAATTCAGGCTTTGTTTAGTTGACAAAGATTCATTGCAAAGAAATATGGGCGACATGTCTGCTCTGCAAAAGTGAAGCCAAAATATCTTAATCGCCCCCTGGTGGCTGGCAACAGTGGAGGTCATGAACCCCTGCTCCTCCATGTTAATGGATGGGACATGGACCAAACTAAAAAGTCAAAGTAATGTCAAATGGTTTTTTTTGCCCACAGATAGTTTCTGTCATTTGAGTTTGTTTAAGTGTTCGTGTCAGTTTGATTAATTAATTAGTTGATGGTGTAAACTAACTCAAAATTACTACTACTATTTACTAATAGTTATCAATAAATAATAGTGAGTCCTCATAGATCATTGATATAATTTCTTCACATTTATTAAAATTCTTAGTAACAGGTCCCTGCTGTCCAGTGGCAGCGAGTTGTTCTTGCACCTACGGGTGGTGGAGGAAACCAGTGTGGGATGTTTCCAGCCTAAGGAGAGCAGCTTAGAGCTGCTCAACGGAGCTGGTGGGGACATCCCCTGCCCGGGACGCAACTGTAGCAACAACACAGATGTCAGATGGTACAAGGTGAAGTCCACGTATGAGCAAGATTGTTGATATCGTAATGGAAACTAGTAGCTAACAGTAAAAACTCACACAGATGTTCTTTTCTTGCAGGGAAACATACCTGTGTCTGAGCTGAGTCGAGACATCTGTGAAAAGAACGGGCTGCTACGTCTCTGTGAAGTCAAAGGCAAATATGATACCAGTGTATATTTCTGTGACAGACCAGTAATGGAGCAAGGAGTCACATGGACATTCAGGAGGGCAGTTAAAGTCAAAGTTGTGCGTAAGTGCTACATGTGTGAATCATTGAATGTGTATGAAGATGGGCAATATGACACCGCCCGGTGGCTGTTCCATCTATGTTAGCAGATGGGACATGGACCAAACTAAAAAAATCTAAGTACACGCAAATAAAATGTTCCAATGAATGGCTTCATTTTAGTTATAGTTCGTATCACACGAAATCCAAGTGTTCATTTTTTCCAATAAATTTGATTTTAATTAGTTATTTAGACGTGGGCCACTTCAGGCAAGGATGCAGCACTTCTGGTCTTCATGTACCAAGTAGCCATGGTATAAATGTGATGATCCACCTTGAGGTGCCATAACATAGAACTTGACAGACTTGGTAAGGAAATCTCTACAAACCACATATGTTTGTGCACCAGGACACTACATCAAGTTTTGTATTGTTGCATATTTATCTAATCACATCACTTCCCTGAAGTGGTGTCTCAGTACAGATATTCCCGGATGTCCCCCTCAGGATAAATTGATCTTGCCAATGACATAAAGCCAATTCAATTATTTTTTAAGTTCTGTGGGGGTTTTTTTTGTGGCTTTTATTTGCATAAGGCTCCATGTGTCCAATCAGAGCTTCTATCTCCCTTTATGTCTGCATGTTTTTCCAGATGTTTATTTAACTTTCTTTCTCAAACCAGCACACAAGACAATAAGTGACCCCCCCAGGATTGCGTATCCTGCTGACAACAAGACAGAGGAAGTGGAACTTGGTGAGTGCAGTGAAATGTGCTGTGATTAAAGCTTAGTGCTATAAGAATTAATAACTAATATATGGTATTCAACTAAGCCATAATGAGCCATTGTCAATAGATAAGTCTATTACCATTATAAACAGCCTAACAAACATATTTCACAGCTTCCATGAACTGTTATGAAAACATTTATAAACAAATCTCTTTTTCGGACATTAAGTTTTCATTTCCATGTTTTTTTTACTCATTCTAGGTCGGTCTCATACTCTGACCTGTAAGGTGTTTTTTCCTTATGAGAGTAAGAGTTCAGGGGAGGTGCATTGGTACATGAATAATGGAGGCAACAAAGACAATATGACTCTACTAGAAATGAAGAAACCACAGTGAGTCACTTTCACTCTCACTTTTCCATTAAGCAACTGTCTTTTGTTGGGTTGTGCATGATGATGATTCAACTTGGCTTGCATGATGAGTTTTGATCAAGAGACAAAGAAGCTGTAATGCTTTCCCTCATTTAGACAGGGTTCCGACATACTTGAAGAATATTGGATCGTACAGGACGGCTTCATAGACAAAGTGACTCCACAACACTTGGAGCACACGTATACCTGCATTGCCAGTAATGCTCTCGGAAAATGCAATGTCACTATCAGGCTCAAGCAGAAACAAGGTACTATCGTCACCTTCATTTCTTTGTTTTATTAAAGGTTCATTTAGGTGAAAGGCGTCCACGTTGTGATCATTTCCATTTTGTATCCACAACATGTTACTTTCCACTGCACCCATGTCAATGTATTGCCACTGTCCAGACATGATACAAGCTAATGAGAATATTTTGGACTTGGTTGTAGTGAAGTGGGCGTCACTGGTTGGGTCCCCCATCGCTTCTTTGCTGCTGGTAGTTGTGGTGGGAGTGATTTTGCACATGAAGTGGTTGGAACTACAGATTATCTACAGATGCCACTTCCTACACGGAACACATGACAGAGGTTTGAAATCACACACACACACTCTCTCTCTGCGACTTCAGAGGACATACTTTGATCTACATTGTTTAACTAACCTTTAGTAACGATTTATGTTATAGGGACTTGCTTTTTGTTCCCATAAGGCAGAAAAGTCCCTATGATTTGCTGGGGAAACAACAAGTCATATCTGTAGTACGCCCACACACACACACACACACACACACACACACACACACACACACACACACACACACTATATATAGTAGAAACTGTCAACCTCACTTTACAGCTGCTCCTCTTCTGCTTAACCTAAAACATAGTTACGGTATGCAATTTGTTTTCAATTTAATTTGCCCAACAATATATTACATTACATACAGAAGTGGTTAGCACTGACAGTTTGAGTCCCAGCCTGGGTGGGGCCTTTCTGTGTGGAGTTTGCATGTTCATCCCGTGTCTGTGTGGGTTTTTCTCTGGGTACTCCAGTCCAAAAACGTGCAGACTGGAGTTAGGTTCATTAGAGACTTTCTATACTCGTTCAAAGTGTCCACATTTACACTCTTCATGTTTAGGTTTAATCATTTTATTGTCTTTCACATCCACCAACACTCTGTTTCAGATGAGAAAAGGTTTGATGTGTTTCTGTCGTACGTGTGGAGTCCCACATCAGCAGAGATTGAGGGAGGTTGGACCCGTTCCTCCCGATCAGGACCTGTCACTGATGAGGAAGGTAGACCGAGACGTTCAGTGTATTTATATGTGTATCTGGATTTCATTTTCAAGAAAGTGAACACTCATTTCTATTGGCAGCATGTCAATTCAGCATGGACCCACTGAACACCGAGGAGGATGAAGCCACACAGACACCACTAGAAGTATTACTGCGCCAAGTGTTAGAGGAACAGTGGGGGTATCGTCTCTGTCTGCTGGAGAGAGACATTCTTCCAGGAGGAGGTCAGAGGATCTCCTGTGTGTGTCCGTGCTTGTAGTTCGATCCAACTTGAGTTGTTGTTGTCAGGACATTGTGGTAAAGTGAGTGTATTTTCTCACAAAGTCAAATGAAGTCTGAGGGTTCAGAGTTGGTTTTAAGGTTCAGATTAGACTTAAGTTGAAATGTTTAACGGATTCTTCCATCGTTCTTCTGTCACCTTCCACATTCTTCCATTAAGTTTGGTGGTAATCTGTCCTGTAGTTTCAAGTGTATCAACAAACAGACAAAGATGAAAGCCCAACCTCTTTGGTGCGGACGAGTGTCCTGGCAAAGATAGAAGTACAAGCAAGTGTGAGTGTGTATGTGAAGTCTCTGTTTTCCAGCATTAACATGGACCTTGTTAGGACCAGTAGACCTCATAGAGGCCACAGCCTGGTCCCAATGAGGCAGTGTCAGTTTTGGGGCCCTAGTGTGTAGATGTGGTTAGGTTAAGGTAGGCATAGGTTGGTCCTGGTTAAGGTTAGAGATATGGTTATGGTTCAATGAAAAGTCCTAAATAGGACAGCTGCACTGTGTGTATGTGATGACTGCAAAGATTCCTGATCATTTTCATTTTCTATTGCAGCATATACAAATGATGTGGTTCTTGCGATACAGGGAAGCCACATGCTTATCTGCCTCCTGTCAGCTGACTACCTCTGCAACACTGATGGAGTGTTTGTGCTCGAGTCAGGAGTTCAGGTAGGTCTACATTTCAACTGAGGCTGCGTTCACTGCAATTCAGACATTTCATAATCATACGTTTCTGACTTGCTACCTGATCCACATCTTAAGGCTTTGCTGCAAAAGTCTGCCCTCAAACTCCTGATAATACGGACCTGTAGAAACTCTGCATCCATCATCCAGGACCCCCCTCTTCCTCCGCTGGTCCAAAGGGCATTGAAGGTTCTACCGAGTCTGAACTGGACGTCAGATAAACCTGACAGGGGCAGCAGCAGATTCTGGAGGTCTTTGAGGAAGGCCATGCCCCGATCAGAGTGACGCTGGTTTCACTTGTGTAGGACCAATGATAAGATTGTGTCCCCAGTAACATTTTACATTAAACAGGTGTTATCTTAATATGTCCAACAAGTGAATCAACCTTTGTACCAAAAATACTTACTAATATACCAGATAAAGGATTTGTACTACTTGAACAAAATGTAAGAAAACGTGTCAAAAACAAGACTGCTAACTAAATTTAAGAATTTGCTTTTATTTGTCTAGCAGGTATAACAAAACAATGTTGTGAGGTCTACTTCATCATGTACTGTAGAGCGGACATATTTGACACAAAACATAAATTCCAAAACTTTTTTTTAATGCCTTTTAAATGTTTTTAGGAGGGTTTTGTTTGACTCAACAGGTCACAGCAGTGGATATTGGTGTATTTGACTTGGGGAAATTCTGCACAACAGTAAGATAAAGGAATTAAAGTTTACATTTTGATCATGGGGATTTTCCGGACAGAGTTTCAGACACAGGAGAAGTCACTGAGGTACTGCAGGTACCTCATGTTAAAAGGATTGGGGATAGATGTCTGTGATGTGGACTTTCGAATGTTAAAGTTGCAATGGAAAGTGTTTGTATGAGCATAATCATTACTAACCTATGCTTTAACCACCCACAAATCAATAGATGAAACTGTCACCAGCATTTGGATTCATGTTATCGCTGTGTGTTTCTGATCCTCCCACATCTGTCAACTAAAAACACATCAATAGTCCTTCAGTGAAAATAAAAGATAAGATCAGTAAATGTGAAAGTGAAACAGAAAGAAATCAGTTTTGTTGAAACCAAACCACTGATAAAAGAAAACCTAAACATCAAACAAAGAGCTGCCAATGAGGTGATACAGCAGGTGAAAGCACAGGGAAGTTGACTCACAATGGTTATTTATGTCCATCTTATACATCAAAATAAAAACTGGGGCAAACAAAACGAAAAGTTGTACAATGATGTTGAAAAACTAAACTAAACAATCAATCTGCGCGTATAGTCTAGTCACTTGCTCCCCACATTAACAGAATGCTCAAACTCACACTCATTTGTGGATCGAAAAAAATAAAACACAATCACACTTCAATGTACATTTTTTACACAAATATCAGACGACTAAAATTAAGAGTCGCTCAGGATCGCACCAAACCAAGAGGAACAAGCAAGATGCATAAGAGGCATGAAGGCTCTAAAAAATGATTTTCTCATCAGCCTGCAGAAGGAAACTGTAGCACTTTTTTTACAGTTTGAATAATAGTCTAATGGCTAATTGACTTGCCCCATCTCTTGATCTCAGCACCTCTTGTCACAAGGGCTCGATGTCTCTCCTCTCTTTTAGCATCCACAAGTAGTGGTTAAATGTGTAAATGTGACTTCAGTAAGAGAGTACCACAGAAGGCTTAAATTATTCTTCATTGCAGGAGGAATCACTTGAGCCTTCATAGATATTTAACCTATATAAAATTATCTATTAGTGACAAAAACTGGAAGTCAGTTACGGTTTATCTGACTGGGCCTTCAGCTTCCTTTCCCACAGTTTTTTTTGATCAGAGAAGCCTTGCTTGCCCTTGTTAAATGAATTAGGTCCTGCAGATGTTGGCGTCTCCCTGAAGAATTAAAACAGAAACATGTCACATAATTACTACCAATTCATTTAGAAGGAAAATGAGAATGCTTTCATAAAACCTGAGGAAACAATCAGATTGTCTTTATACCTGCCAATGTTCTTCATCCTCATCTTTGCTTCTGGAGGCATCTCCTCAGGTTCACTCTGCATGTGAATAGAGAATATCAGTCCACCTCTGCTTATTTGTTATTTATGCATTTACACAACCGTGTCTTTAATGTGGACATGCGCACTTACGTCGTCATCTTCGTCAAATACAGATGCCAACCCTGACTTTTTTGGGGGGACCGGCGGTACAGGCTCTTTGGGTTTCTAAAAAAGTACGGAAGATGTAGGTTAACAAAATAATCCAGCTGAATCTTACTTCTTCACAAAATGTAAAAGTAACCGACCCTGACATTTGATATGTTTTACCAGATAATATTTGACATTTTTAGATTAAATTAAACTTTATTGTCATTGTGCAGAATGATTGCACTTTGTGCTTACTTGATAAATTACTTGAATGGTTAGTTGACTATTTCTATAAATTCACTAGTGAGTAACTCTTGATGTTATTCATGTTTCAGCACCACTAAAATTATTGAGGATTTTGGCCTCATTTTTAACCTTTTTTTTTACCCCGTCCACTTGTTTGTAAGCAAGATTACACACTATACAACTGAACAGATTTCCACTTAACATAGTGACGGGATATTGAACGGAACAGGGGAAAAAAACACCACATGATGGTGTGGATCCAGATCAGGGGGTAGATCCAGGACCCCCCCCCCCACACACACACACACACACACTTTCTTTAGCATTTTTCAATTCCCATGTTATCATGTATAGATCTTTTAGAAAAATTAAGCACATTCAGGGGAGTGGTATCTACCATTGTGTGAAATCTGGTGCAGCTAGATTGAATTTAAAGGGACTGTTTTTGGCTTCAGTGAGTGCCACAGTCTGTGATGCCAGTTACAATACAAATACTACATCAAATACATGTATATCTACGCGAGCAGTAAATATGCAACACTATTCACTCACTGATGCTCCGAGTTTGATAGATATGGGGTTTGACTTCTTCCCCATCTTGCCGTGCATGCTAAAGCCTATTTTGGGGACTTTGCAGGGCGCCGGTGGGTCAGCCGAGGACTCGTCATCCTCCTCGGGTGTGAGATGCTGGGACGTGCGCTTGACTGCGGACCCTTCTCCTCCCGCAGTGCTACAAGAGACAGGCTTAGTTTTCACTCTGCCTCCCTCCTCCTGCGGCCCTGCTTGAGGCAAGACAACTCACCACGGTGAACACATATTTTCTGGAACCTGGAGAATAAATAAACGCTATCACCTTTACCTGGGTGGCTATGTTTCTAGCCATCAACGACCCGTAGGTAACTAATTTTCAATTCTACCACACACGTCCACAGGGGGACAGTGTGCGCATTTAGCACCGATGACATCAGGGTTTAATTTAACTCCGGGTACTGCACGCAGGGTCTGCAGGCAAATAATAACATTGCTAGCTAGCGCTATTTAGCTTGACAGTCAAACTGGCTAGGCTAACACCGTGTTAGCAGGCGAACTTGGAACCTATGTTGTAGAAGGCAGTCTTTTGCTTCACTGCCTGGCTAATGCTAGCTGTGGCGTTAGCTTAAGAGTTACAGTCATTCGCATTAGTCCATAGCTACAGAGGGTAGCGTTGCTACAGCGTTAGCATTAGCTTTTCAACGAGATGTAGCATAGCTTGGTGTCATTTCAGGGATATTCCCTCTGATTGGTGTCAGTTGCGTCCAGTATTGATAAGCAGGCATCGTATCGAGCTAACACAACACATTGATTATCGCTAAACACGTGTTAGAAGCTCAAACTGCTCAAATATCACCTCCGTCGTCGCTGCTGCTCTCTCCGCTATAGTCCGCCATCGCTGCTCTTCTCGGACCCGCCGGCAGATGTCGCTGGTTTCCTCGAAGCGTCGCGCGCTGTTTACAAAAGAAGAAGAACATGGAGGAAACTCGACAACACGGTGAGCTATCAGACACAAAAACATCGTGTTTATCGTCCCACGCGTTTTGTTCAGCTGCTCGTTGTATCGGGTGGCTAGTTAACACTTCACTTCCTTTGGGGAAGACTCTGAAAACCAGCGTTAACGTCACGTTTTTACGGTTTTTAGCCTGGAAGTAGCTAGGCTCATGTTAGCTAGCACAACAATGGAAGATATGTTTGTCTCTCTGTGTCACTTACTTCAATTTGTCTTCTTCCTTCAGGCCCTTGAACAGCTTGTTGAACAATGAACCAGTCAACATGGGGCAGACACTGTGTTTGTGCACCCGTGGCTCCATCACCATCGACAACAAAAAATATTACTTCGTCCAGAAATTAGATGAAGGGTAAGAAGGCATGTTGTATATATCCAACTCCATGTAACTTCACTTTCAGGGCAAAGTGTGATTCTATGTGTGTTTATTAAAACATCAATTTAAAAGTCCAAAACCAATAATGAATTGAATTACTTATGCCAAGGCCACACAGTCCCCTTAAATTACATCAAATTGCAACAAAAGAAGACAATACACCTACAGATAATAGCTCCATAACTTTGATTGATTATTTTCATCAAGATCCATCTTCCATTCTGATTCCTTCCATCAAGTTATGTGGGAATCTGTTCAGTTGGTTTTGTATAATCTTGCTTAAAACATAACCTCGTTGGCAGAGGTAAATAATTATCATGCTGTCAAATGATGATGTGGCTTATTGCTCTGACCCCATTGTCCATAAATACACCACAGCAGTGGGTGTCATCTTACCTTATTACTTTGAACATGGGCCCTCTATAGTTATTTTTAGTCAATCCTACAAACACTGTTGCTGAAGCAAATACAAATAGGCACACCAAATCTTTGATGAACGTTGCCCTGTGAAATGTAACATCTATTCCTGTCTGTAGAAGTTTTCTGAAAAATGTAGTGCCAGTCTGTTATATGAAAACCTGTCTCCATTTAAAAAAGTGACTTGATTTTAAAGACATCTTCTGTAGGATAAAAATGGCAGTGGGACAAGGAACACAGAATTACAGGGGAAATCAGAAAGAACTTTGAAATTGACTTTCACATTGTTGATATTTTTATTATATAGGATCTGTTTATTTAAAAAAAAAAAAAGTCATATCACCCTCCTTATCCCTAAATGTCTGATTTGCTCTCTTCAAACTCTGACCTGTTTTTCCTCTTTTCAGTGGGTTCAGTTATGTGGACCTGGTTGAGGGGGTAAAGGATGGGCGCTTCTATGCCCTGAAGAGGATTCTGTGCCATGACCGTGAAGGCCGCCAGGAAGCTCAGACTGAAATGGAGATGCATCAGATGTTTAATCACCCCAACATCTTGAGCCTGGTCGCCCACACCTTTGTTGATCGTGGAGGCAAGAGTGAAGCCTGGTTGCTTCTGCCTTATATTAGTGTAAGTAGGTGCAGTAGTTAAAATGACAAGAATGGCCTTGAGGGAAATGGTCTGACTCTGATATATTGTGTTTGTGTGAGCAGAAAGGCAGTCTGTGGTCAGTTCTGGAGAAGCTAAGAGACAAGGGCAGCTCAATGCCTGAAAAACTGATTTTGCAAGTTTTTCGTGGCATCTGCTCTGGACTCAAGGCCATTCATGAAAAAGGTTACGCACACAGGTATTGTTTCTCAACATAAACACGTGTACAACAAACATTTAAATGAATAGGACCAGTAAAAAGACTCTTGTACTAGCTTCGAGTGCCAAAACTGTCTCTTTTATCTGTTGTAATTTGACAGAGATCTGAAGCCCACCAATGTGCTTCTGGATGAGGATGACAGGCCAGTTCTAATGGACCTGGGCTCTATGAACCGTGCCAGGATTGAGGTATGGGTGCAGGGTCTATATATAGATATTCAAATGTTATATAGTTTTAATCAAGTCTTTGATGCTTGTATTGCTGATTTTGCCCCTTATTCATATTGCACATTGGGAATTCTGCTGTTTTAGTATTTCCCTAAACACAAGTAACACGATTAAAAACCTTTTCAAGCATTGCTATAAGCCTTAATGGCATTTACACTTCCAGAAATAGTTATCTATTTGTTTATGTGTTTAAGGTTTATCTTCAAAATGTGATGTCCTCAAAATTATCCTCAATCTCTGAATCATTTAATGAAACTTAATGTATCGCAGGTTAAAGGCACCAGAGAAGCCATGACCATACAGGACTGGGCAGCCCAGCGTTGCACCATTTCCTACAGGGCTCCTGAACTCTTCAATGTAGAGAGCCACTGCATTATAGATGAGCGCACTGATATCTGGGTAAAGTCTTGTTTGTGTTTAGTCCCTCCTGGCTTGTATATGTTGTTTCATGATGTTTGCTTAAATTATTTTGGATGATTTACTGACCACTTCTTTTTCTTGTCTGTTGCGATCCTCCCACACTCCCTTCAGTCACTTGGCTGTGTGCTTTACTGCATGATGATGTTGGAGGGACCATACGACCTGGTGTTTCAGAAGGGGGACAGTGTTGCCCTTGCTGTCCAGAATCCAGTGACCATCCCACAGTCTTGCAGGTGAGTCTCCAGACTGTAATGTTGTTACAGTGTATCTAGAAAGTCTCCAGCTGATGATGATCAGTTTCTGTTTCTGCCGAGGATAGTAGTAGGACGATTCTCTGGTCAGACACGTTCATGGAATGTAGTTTAAAGCCCCTTTTAACTGAACCTGATTTCTTTATTTTCTACTTAAGGTTGTTTTTGTTGTGTTTGAACTCGTATTTCCATTTTTTGTTTTTGTGTAAAATAGAGCAGAATTCAAATTGATCCTGAATGAATGAACACGTTTATGTTGAAGTTGAAAAGTCTCTTATGAAGGTTTGTGTATGTATGTTAAATGTATGTTGCTCTAACGCCATGCCTGTGTGTTCCCAGTTACTCCGAGGGCCTGCAGGTGCTGCTGAGCTCCATAATGGTGTCAAATCCCCAGGAGAGACCAAACATCAGTTGGGTTCTTGACCAGGTACAGGACCTGCAGAGTCGCAGCCCCAACACCCAAACCAACATGGTCTGATGTTGCACGTTGCATTAAATTTGGGCCCTTTGCACACGTAAATGAATTTTATTTTAAGCTTGAAAATATTCCTTTTATTTATTGATTTTAATGTAAAAGCCTCGGTACAGACTCTCACTCGGCTTTGGGAACTTGGCAACAGTGTCAGCTTTTTGAATGATCCGATCCATCCTGGACTCTTGTATTCCTTACAGATTTACCAAATGATCAAAACATCTGAATGGCCTTAAATGTAGTTCAACAACATGAAATGGTTGCTTCTAATAATGAAGTGGCCTTAGCTTTCATTGTTAAAGGGACAGTTTGACGTTGTGAAAAATATGCTCATTCACTTTCTCCGAGAGTTACATGAGAAGATAGATAACAGTCTCACGTCTGTCCATTCAGTGTGAGGCTGGAGCCAGCAGCCTTTTAGCTTAGCTCATCACAGTTTAGCATAACGTTTTTCAGAATGATCATGTTCCATACCTTGTGGATTTAATCTGTACAACAAAACACAATGTTGAAATGACAAGTTGTTGATGGTTCATATGTTTATTTGTAGAGCCCAGCCAATATGGAGGGTGGGATTCTGTGGTCTGATGCTGATATTGGGGAGTAAAAACAAAACTGACAATGATTCCTAAAATGATGTTATCAAACCCTTAAGACTAAAATGTAATTGAGGCTTGATACTTTACAGTTTAACCATATTTTAATGTAATTAAGTATAAATAATGAAAACAAATACAACCAAATATATAGAACTTCAATTAAGCAAATAAACACATTTTTTTGCAAATAATGTAAATGCACATCTTTACTGCATTGTTCTGTAAAATAAACATTTTTTTATAGATAAACATTAATGCAGATATTTCTATGAAAGGATCATATTGGCCAAGCTAAGCTATCAGGCTGTTGGCTGAATTTCTTTTGTATTTCTATTACAAAAACATACGTCATTGTCTTAAAAGTTGTAGTTTTGGGGAATTCTTTAAAAGGGATAAAAGATAGAAGCCTTTCATACCTTCCTGCGGACGAGGCTTCCTGAGTTCAATACATATCATATTACAATCCCTACAACAAGGAAGATTTTCCAAGTTCCTTCATTGTTTATCTCAGTTTGACGTGTGACCTCATGTAGTTCTAATAATCATCAATCTCCTAACTTGCCTCCTGCTTTTGTCCACACTATTTCTCACACTGACTCTGGTGTGGAGAAGTTAAGAGGTGGTGCGCACCACACCTGCAATGCTGCATTTGAACACAAAGTGGCGTTTCAGCACCACAGTCCCCTGCCCCTCATACAGACATGGCCATTGACCAGGTTTCTGTCTGAACTGTTGGTAACTTGCAAATGGGCTTTTAGTAAAACACAGTAAGAAAGTATTTGCTGACACAAAAAAGAGAAAAAACATCAAAGCAAAGAGATCAGATGTTACTGTTACACACCAAAACAACAGAGGAGAAAACTCATACGACGCAATACATGTTTTTAAATACTGGCAGTCCAACTCATTGCCATGGCATTCTACCCCAGTTTTTACTTCACATTTTACTGTAATGTGTTTTTATATAGTTGAGTATTTTTCATTCCAGCTTTGCTTGTGTTTAATTCTGGGTGTCCTGTCGTTTGTGAGTGTGGTCTGACTCCTCTGTTCTCAGGGTTCACCCACATCTCAGACTCAGACCTGAATGGTACCTATCAAATCTATTATGATCTCATTTAAAACTTTGGGCATTTTAAGTTAAGATTTATGCTTTTATGACTGTCATGGAGTGATACCGGACCACATTAGAATTGAAAAGGTCCCTGACTGTTAATATATGCAGTTGATTGTTCGAATGGTAACTGACACACGATTTAAATATATTTTCTTTTAAATGCTAAGTTTTGAAATGACTATGAATTTCTGTTTAGCTGTTAATGGCGAACTAATACTGGTATCGCTCTGAGCGTAAGAGTGTGTTATTTGATTATAGAGAAATCTGTTGACGTTATTTTTCTTCTCTTATTCTCTACACAGTAAAGGATAAATAAATATTAATTATGGAGCCCTGTGTACACAGTTTTTAATATAAATGTGAAATAAAACTGCATCATATATTTAAATAGTCATTGTCAAGATAAATATGCATATACTCAATACAATTTCCTGTACTATATTGTCAGTCACATGTGCACAATATGACCAAAAGTATTCAAAATACCCTTGTAATTAGTGATTTCATTTCAAACAAAGCATCATATTTTTTATTTGTATTGATCTACATGATCAGGCGATCGCCATGTTGTGAACTGGCAGGTACTGTTAACGCTAAATCCAGTTTTAATTTGTCAGATCTTTGTGGAGTAAGAGATGCAATTTTTTCCTCTGAAATGTAGTTAAGTATAAAGATGCATGAAAAGTAAATAGTCAAGTAAATACCTCAAGTACCTCAAATTTGTAATGAAAGCAACAGTTTGCCACTTTTTTATTACCTTAAAATAGGAGCTTCAAAGATAGTCTGAATGTTCACTGTCTTGGAATAAGGACAATATTTGCTCTTTCATTCCTGCTGCTGAACTTCTGTTCTCGCTCTGTGTAGCTTTGGTGAGCAGGTATGATCTCCTGTGAGAAGTGTGTAGCAATGAGATACAAGATAGTCACAGCTTAAATTCAAGAGTAATGCTGAACTGTAGATCAGTTAAAAGGGCTTAGACGTTGTATGAAGAATTCATATTAAACAGAGTTTGGTGTATTTGTTACAGCAGCCGTTCTTCTGGTCCATTCGGGTTTCAGTTAAGTAAACAGGACTAAACAATCGGATCTCCACTTAACATACTGAAAGGCTTTTTTTTTTTCTCAACATGAAAACCATTTGATCACTTGGACACTGAGCCCAACAGAATATATCCCCACATATAACTGCAGGGGGCGCTGTTACTCAGTAAAAGTTTCACAGCCTGCTAGATTTGCCCGTCGGTTGTGATTGCTGTTCCACATTATGGCGTGGAGACGCTAGAAGCTACAACTGTGAAGCGATGGGATGCAAACACTCACTCAATGGGACTGCTGAGTGCTGAGGTACGTTAAAAAAAATAAAAAAGTCATTGGTCCTCTCTCTGCACTGATCATGACATGGTTTCCAGGGCAGCAGCACTGAAGCATACGTTCACAATGTGCAGTTTCAGTTGTTGGACATAGTTGGGTAAAAAAAATCCTGCATTGGACCAGAACAGTGCAAACACGTTGTGTTATTATGAATCTGCCAGTCTGGACGATGAATCATGGCTCAAGAGAATGCAAAACACAAAAACTTCTAACTTAATTTTTCAGAGAAGAATTCATGGATCTTGATGAAAAAAATCAGGCATGACTGATATTAGGGTGTGCAATTTTTCCAAATACAAATCTGTATCTAGTGAATTTAATAGTTTCATAAGGAGACTGTTCAGCCTTGGTGGAGGTACACTGCTCTGTGCTAGTCCAGATTTAGTCATGAAAAAGTGAAATTAACTACTAAATGTGACATTGACGTCTCTGGAAACACATTAAAATGTGTATTCATGTGTGTAAGTGATGTTTCAATCAAGAGTCGAAGAGTTTATTTAAAGATGGATTGATAAAAATAACAGGCTTTCTTTGTTAATGCAGTTTTGAAGGCGAAATCTTAGAGAAATCCCCAAACAAGCACAACCTTCATCTGACAGTGTCGAGCTCCCGTGCTCATTGTGTGTATGTGTGTGTATGCTGGCGCAGACATGCTTGAAAACAAATATCAAACTGCTCATGAAGCTGGATTTACAGTCCCCACGTCCACCAGGATCAGTGCGATGTCGCATTTCACTGCTGTCCCAATTACTTTTGAAGGTAATTCCTACCTTACTGGGCGCAAATGCACACACTCAAATGACCAGTCGTAAAATATACATAACACGCCAGATATTTACAGTGCAGATGCCCTTTAATACACAAACACCCTGAGGATTCATTACACTTTAATTAATAAAATCCCAGCTGATTTCTTCCTCAGGCCCAACTATGGAACCCAGACTCCCCTGAGACTGGGTTCAGGACAGAGTTGTGTTTATGAGTTCACACTCCGCCCCCACCGTTTCTGCCTTTTATATTCCCCATCATTTGCCTGTGAGGGGCTGAAATGATGTCATACAACACAAGCGCAAGGTCAACTCAATGTGTGGCTACATTTTAGCACCAATTTCATGTGCTTTCGCTCGTCGTCCGGTTGGAGGGATGTACTGAGTGTGGGTTTCATTTGTAATCCAACCCCAGTCCTCAAACACAAACACACTTTAGCTCTCACACTGTAAACTATCAGCAGGCTTCATTGATTTGGCGATGAATCAATTAGTGAATTATTTAATCAGCAAAGCATTATGGGTCAGTGCGGAGCTGCTCCCACCCTGCAGTGATCCTAGGTCTCTTTAAATCATCACGTGTGTGTGAGCACATATAGTCTCATCTTTGCCAAATGACCGCAGGAAAGTTTTCCATAGTGAATTAAGATAGGAGATTCCAGTGAGACCTTTAAAGTCGCCCAGTAAAGTTTCTGTTTTGCCAGACGAGCGATCTTATTTCTTCAAAGCTTTACATAGACTACAGTCCCAGAACTTTTGCTGTCACTCAAGTCCAAATTAGCCTTGGCTGCAGCTTAAAGACAGAGAAATATGGACATTACATTTACCCGTTGAGTGGATGAGTTACTGCTTGTGTTTGTGATCGGGACGTTCTCTTCCATCCAGGAGTTTCTTTGTGCTCGTTAATTCATGGGAGTGTTTGGGTTAAAATGCATAATGAGTTCATTAAGAGGGATTGGCGTAATCAGTAAAGGTATTGCCTTAATTACTGGCACAGGGCCAAATGTATCCGTTCTGTGTGATATCGGCAACCCGCCCTGTCCAGAGAGCTCACTAATTTAATTAAGTGTACAGAATGCTACACCCTAACGTCGCCCTTGGGGGCAATTATGGCACTAGAGATTGAAAGATCTCCACCGGGGGTATTTTACTTACTGGCAGGAGATTGCCTGTGTCAGTTAGCTGATTGCATTGATTA